ATAGAAACCCTGGAGTACAAGCTCATTTGTTTTCTTATTCATTTATTTTTATTGTAAAATGTTTTGTGTATAAGTGTATGAATATGTGTACATGCATTTGTATGTATATGTATGTGAGTGCATGCGTGTGTGTGTGTGTGTGTGTGTGTGTGTGTGTGTATGCATATGGAAGCCAGAGACTGACAATGGATTTCTTCTTCATTTGCCCTCTACCCTACATTTTGAGATATGGTCTTTTAGTCAACCTGACACTTTGGGTTTGCCTAAACTCTCTGGCTGCAGAGCTCCAGGGATCTGTATATTTCTACCTTTCCCGTGCTGGTATTACAAGCACACACTTTCCTGCTTAGCCTATACATGGGTTCTGGGGATCCAAACTCAACTCCAAAAGTTTGAACAGCAAGTACTTTGCCAACTGAATCATCTTCTCAGCCCCTGACATACATTAGGTTACTGTATAAGTTTACCATGCATTTAGTCATGTCCTGGTAGACTAAAGGCGATTCTTTAATATCTTCCCTGTCTTGTTCTTTGAATGCTCTTATACAGATATTCTTTCCAGACAACACAGAGTTCAACAAATACTTAAAGAACTTCCATGTTCTCTAAATATGATTACACTTGATTTTCTCTCATGCTCACCAAATACCCCTTTCATCTCTATTCCAGCTAAGTCTGAACTAAGGCATATTTCAAGTCAAAGAGACCTTCTTTATTTAGCTAAGACATCCACACATAGTTTCCCTTTGAAACTACAGATTACTATATGCAATGTCTCTTCTCTCGAAATTCATTATGGACTACACTGATAAAATGTCAGTTTTGGAACCTGGAAAATTCTTTTTCCTGCTCTTCTGCAACCACATAAATAAGAATCAGATCCTTGTACAACAAAGAGACTAAAAAGTTTATCAAGATGATTATTAGGCTCCTCATTGCAAAACTACATATCTCTTGTTCCCACAGTCTGACAGTTTTAATGACAAGCATGGTGGAAGGGTAGATTATCAAGGCAATTTTGAAATGAATAGGCCATCATTTGCCTGGATTATTGTGACCCTCAAATATTTCTAATTCCTTATAGATTCCAAATCACTCAAGTCATCTCTTCTGTGATGTTTTTCTGTTTCTATTATACTTGAGAAAAATGTTCATAATCAATTGTCAGAAATTCTATTCCTGTATTAAATATAATGCTTATAAGCAACTGTCCTTTCTTCTGTTTTGAAAGCTATCTTTTTTAGATTAATATAATGGCATCATTTTGCTCTTCCATTTCCTCCTTCAAGTCCTCCCATGTACTCCTTCCTGCCCTTCATGGTCTTTTTTTCATTAGTTGATGTTACATGCATACATACATACATACATGCATGCATATCTCTAAGTACAAAAATTCAATATGCTCAATCTGTGTGCTTGTTTTCATTTGGTATTGGATAACTAATTGGTGTTCTCTTCCCTGGGATGACTATTTCTCCCATTCTCAGCATTCCTTAGTTGCTTGTAGTTATTTGTGTACGGCTGAGAACTCACAAGATGTCCTACTTCTAAATTGACATGTTCAATGATGTCATTCTTGTTCAGGTCATGTTTAGGCAGCCAGGTTGAGACTTCATTGGTGTACTAATAACATTCCTAGAAGACACAATATCACAGCAAATTTACCATTCCTCTGGCTCTTAGAATTTTTTCTGCCTTCCTTTCTAGTAAGATACCTAAGGCTAGAAAAGGTGAAGGACCTGTAATTATAACTTTACTAAACCAGCACAATTCCTAACTACAGTCTAAATATTTTTCTCTATACCCAGAGATAACTGCAGCTCTGATTCCACATCAAGCAAACTTCTCTACGCAACAGATGGAGGCCATTACAGAAAACCACAGCCAATCAAAATTCTGAGTTGTGGACCCAGTCCCGGTAGGTACATTTACAATGCCCACACCTAAGAGCTAGTTATCTAGTATCAGGCATTATTTCCTTCTTGTTGAAAGTGGGTCTTAAGTTCACTTAGAGTGCTGTTGTTTACTTCCAAGGTACATAGTTCTCACATCCGTGTAGGACTATTGGTTGCTTCCACCTTTGGAAACTTGCATGGAACATTATGGTGCCATGAAAATTAGTCTTCAGAAAAGAGGCATTTAGGTCATTTCTATCTTGGGGGCCTCTGGCCCTCTGAAGTGTGCGATATCTTCAGCATTAGTGACTTAATTTCTACCCCTGCTGGGGAACAACCAATGGCAATAGCAATAGCCTATAATGTCTTGAGAGTTTCTTGGACAACTCTGACAAACAATTAAAAAGAGGGCTTCCTGTGCTTGGTGTTTGAGTTTTTGTTAGATGGCTTTTGACTCTTGGAGGGACACTTTTTCTTTAGTCTTGAATGAATAATGAATAATATAAATTAGATAATAATGATATAATAATAACCACACAATTCCACATACAAGAATTGACAAAGGAGATGATTAAGAATCTGTGATGCTTGTATTCCTCAGCCAGAACAAGGTGTGACAGACTACAGGGAAGGGGAAGAACTTGTTTAGAGAGAGGTACTGCTTTGAGTTGTTGCTTGATGGAGTCATGGGTCATATACCTGGCTTCTTGAGAAGATGGTTATTTGTCTTTCAGCTTCTTTCACTTCAGGCTTAGTGAGACAGTTCCCATGGAAACGCAAAGCTGCAACATGCTTCTTGGTATTTGAAGACTCACAGAACTTGAGGAGGACAGGGTCATTGTGGAAGCAGATAAGTATTATCTGAATTAAGATCATCATGGACTCCTAGAATTTACAGGACTAAAGGATGCATGAGTGTTTCTTTGAGATGAAGTTTGGGCCACACAACTGAAAGAACTGATGCATCATTATCTTGGATTCTACATAAAAAGAGCTATTCTAAGAGGCAGGGGTTTTATGTGCAAGAGACTGGGTCCGAATTGGATTCTACCAGACATAAATACAGATATTTACAAAATGATAGATGGAGTTGAGGGGAACAGGAGCATGTTACTCAGAAGAGAGGCCTGAAGATGTGAAGGATGGATTATGGCACAGGCTGATTATTGTTGGAAGGGATCCATACTTAGACAACACAAACTTACCAGAATATAAACCCCCAAAAAGGCAAGTGCCATGATTATTTCACCAGTATAACATTTCCAGTAGCTGGCATCATGCCTGGAATGGAATTGTGTCTCAATAAATATTAAAAAAATGGATGCTACTATTTGAGTATACTGGGTTCATTTCTCAAATTTGTTTTATGTTATTTGCAGAGGGCATGCTAAACAAAAACAACCTACTATGGAGATGCAAGATTAAGGCAAACAATGTGTTTGCATGTTTTTGGTAGAAATACCAATTACTCAAGAATAGATAGGCGTTTTTAGTACATGTCTATCGAAAATTTTCTCTCTGTATATCCATCTGTGTACATGTGTGTGTGTGTATGTGTGTGTGTGTGTGTGTGCATGCACGTGCATGTATCTGTGTATGTATGTGAGGAGGAAAAGAAAGATGTGGTGCCTTGCTCTGTCATTCTCTGCCATATCCCTTTGAGACAGGATTTCTAACTGAACCTGGAACTCACCAATTTTTTAGATGAACTCTCTGACCAGTGAGTTCCCAGTGATTTTCTGTCTCCACTTTCCAGGCCCAACAGTGGAGATCCAGGTCTATATGGCAGCATCTGGCTTTTGATGTAGGTGCTGGGATCTGAACTCAGGTCCTCATGCTTGCTCAGGCAGTGTTCTTATTTGTGGAACCACCTCTGAGGCCCTAGAAAGGTTTCTTAACATTAAAAACCATAAAGCAAACCTGAACTTATAATATGGGTATTTAATTCAACCATCAGAGATGCTTCCTCCTGCAGCAGCTAGGGACTAATACAGATACCCACTCAGTCCTAAATGGGAAGGCATCATCAAATCCCTCCCCTCAGGGGTCAGGGAACTATTATAGGAGAGGAGAAGGACACAAAGAAGAGCCAGTGGGTACAAAGGGCACCAAGGAAACAAGGCCTTCCATTCACAGAGACTGACACAAATATGAACCACAGAGACTATGGTAGCATGTTCAGGGCCAGTACAGGTTCAAGCCATATGAGGTCCAAGAACTGAAATGAGGAAGTGGACATAAGTTTCCATCCATAACTAGGGAGCTATCTCTCAAAGGAAAAATCAGTTTTCACCAGTGGAGTCACTAGGTATATAAATGACACTTACAAGGCCCCGTGCCCAGCAGTAGAAGCCAACATAAAATGCACAAATGTGTTTTTGTAGATTTTAAACTCATAATGCTTTGCTGAGAATTTTTTATGTTATTTATCTTTGCTTGTACAGTATGGTTTCCAATTTGTGGCTTTATAATTGCGTGTGTGTGTGTGTGTGTGTGTGTGTGTTTGTGTGTGTGTGTGAGAGAGAGAGAGAGTGAGAGAGGAGAGAGAGAGAGAGAGAGAGAGAGAGAGAGAGAGAGAGAGAGAGAGAGAGAGAGAGAGAGAGAAAGAGCTTATGTTTCTGCTCTTGATGACATCTGGGTAGCATTACAAAAGCCAGGTGCTCTTCATCAATCACCCCTGGGGATTCTGAGACATCAATCATGTTTTTCTTTGTACAAAACAATCTGTTTCTTTTATTTCATTTTCATTCTTATCCTGGATTTCCCATCTCATTATTTGCTGTCTAGTCCTCAACTGTCATTTACCTATCTTATTATAGTTGTGTCCCTTGAGTAATATCAGGCATTTTATTGACTTGTGTTTGGATAAACAAATGGAATGATTTCTACTGCAATTTTATACATATTTTGAGTTATTATTAAATTGATTATCGGAAGCTTGTAAGTGTTGCCATTTTCCTCTGTTAATTTTCCACCTCCCCATTTTACAACTCAAGTTTTCTAGATATTGAAACAACGAATTATCAAAAGAAGTAGATCTAAAAGAAAGCATTTGAGATTATGTCAAGTGGCAAAATATACAGGCAGAATTGGACAATATTTTATTAGCCAGATAAGTAGACAGGAAGCTCACAAGGAAGAAAAGGCTGCAGATTCAGGATTAAGTGTCACGTTGTGCTGATTTGACCTCTTGGACATTAATCATTTCATTTTCATGAGATTTTGTTGTAAGAGCTTAATGCCACACACGGGGTCTGATGACTGCATAGCCATTCATTTCATAGTTCAGAGCCTGCCAATCCAGAATGTTAGGCTCAAGGGGGACACCTTGGTATACAGATTTAATTTCTTCTGGGGTCAGCACAGAGTCCCACATGTTCAAATCCCCAATCTCTCCCACGAAGGACTGGTAATTATCAAACCCTCCTCCATAATTATCCTGTTCCTGTCCTAAGATAATACTGGGTTTGTTTTTCACAGTGTACCCCTTCTGCAAACCCTTTTTTACCCAAGGTTTCCCATTGACCCAAAATTCAGCAATGCCAGAAGAGGACTCCCAACTAGTACAGAAATGTACTGGAGAAGCAAATTCTTCCACCCCATGGACTTTGGTTCCCTGATTTCCAATGTACAGTTCATATTCTCCAATTCTTTCCTTATAAATTAGCAGCTCATTTTCTCCGTACTCAGCATTGTAGGAGAAAAGACTGTGAGGGCGGGAAAGGTCACTATAGGCTCGAAAACACACTGTAAAGTTCTGCAGAGGTTTGTCCAATCGTGGTATCAGCTTCACATAATCAGTTTCAGACTGTCTGGGGAACACAAATACCTTTCCTGTGAGGTCTGTGAGATAAAGTAAGACATAGTGAGTTTCAGCAAATTCAGAGAAACAATAGCTCAAAATCGACTTCTCTCCCTGACTGTAGCCTAAATTTCTTACCTGTCTGAGCAAAGGCTTCTAAAAGCAGGCCTGCAAGTATAGACACCCCAAGCAGGGACAGCAGCTTGTCCATGCTCTCAGTCCAGGGCTATGACAGCAGCAGTCACTCGAGTAGGAGACAGAAAGGCAGCTGCCCACTACACGTTTAAGGCTCCAAGTATTCAGGTTTTATATGTGCCTTGATGATGTTGAGGGGTGGAGAGCAGCCTTCCCAGGTTCCCCCTTCTTTCTGCCAATAATCATAGCTGTTGTTGGAAAAAGAATGCTGATTCCCCTAGGTGGGAAATCGATGGAAGTTATTCATTAGACACAAGTCAATGCTGGAGTTCTAACTCCCATGACCCAGATTTTATTTCTGGTAAGAGGGGAGCTGCAGAGCTACAAGGTCCTACAAGATGAAGCAAGGGGCCAGGTTGGCAACATGAGGAAGGCCTTGTTCCATTTTGCTACTGGTTTTCCATCGCATGACCCCATGCTTCTCCAGAAAGGGATATGGGAACAGGGCAATTGCATACCATGGAAAGTAACCTGCGTAGGACATTCTAGTATTCTATTTTCGGTTAAACTCTAAAATGTCTATTTGTCCCTTTGTATTTTATTAATTAAATATTGAGGAATGGACGTATTCAGGCATTACTAAGAGGATAAAAACAGTTGTGAAGCACAAATTTTCTGTTTGCTTTGAAGCTTAATGGTTTTCTACTATTGTCATTCAGCCTTTCCTTAATGACTCATCATGCTTTCTTATCCAAACTTTCTTACTTCTCATCACGACTTGGCTTCTAAGATATCAAACTTAATTTTTTCCCCTTTCTGCTTGCTTGATTTTCTTTCTCACCTCTAAAGTCTATAGAATCTTTATTCCCATTCTTTTTTGTCTAGCTTCTTATTATTTACCCTCTTTCCTCTCAGCTCACCTCAGGTTAATTAACCTTTTCAATGACATAGTAACTACCATGGGTAATTGACTCTCTCCAGTTCTCTCATTATTCTCCAAGTCCTCATCTCTAGGCAATAGCTATTTCTACTATTTTTCTAATCTAAGTTGAATATAAGGTTGTAGAGTCTTATCTGACTTGCACACTATGGGTGAATACTAGAGTTAGTTGGGGTTGTACATCACATTATCTCCTAGATTAAATCCCAGTCCTTCCACTTGAAAGTCAATGCTACCTCCAGAATCATCCTAAACTGCCTATGATCTCCTAATAAACCCTATTCTCAAATCAAACATCTCTAATTGTTGCTCTTCACTTATGACTAGCTTTCCTGATTTTGTTACTTCTATTCATTGCCTTCAAATTCTCTTTTATATTTTTTATTCACATCCTAAATGTTCTTCAAAATTAATCTCAAAAGTGATCTCCTTTATAAAACTTTTCTGAAGGCCCAACTATACATTATTTTCACTTTTTTGGACTCTTAAAAAATCTTAGTTATTTTCCTATTACTGAGATAAGACACCATATTCAAGGTAACTAGTAGAAGAATTTGTTTAGGGTTTACAGTTACAGAGAGTTAGAGTTCATGGCTATCATGTTGGGGTGCATGGTAGCAGGTAGGAAGGCATGACTGACCCTGGAAGAGTAGTGGGAGCCCATATATTGAGGCACAACTATAAGACAGACAGGTAATGGGAGACTGGGAACAGCATGAGTCCTGTGAAATCTCAAAGCCCACTCCCAGGGACAGACCTCCTCTAGCAAGGTCTTGCCTCCTTATCCTTCTCAAACAGTTCTATCAGCTGAGGTACAAGTATTCAGATACACAAACCTATTGGGGTCATTCTCATTCAAGTCACTACAATAAGGTTAATATCAAAGATGCCAGAGGTCATTATCCCATGGCTTCCTCTGTGGCCTCTACCTTATTTTTTGAAACAAAGTCACTCAGTGGATCTAGAGCTTGCATCTTTGACTTAGTTGACCCTTTTCATAGCCTACACCCAACACCGGCTGTCCTAGAAGTGTTATACCATGCCTAGCTTTTATGTGGGTGCTGGATATATGAACTCAGGTTTTTATGCTTGAACAGCAGTCACTTAATCTATTGAACCATTGCCACTATTCCAGGTTTAGATTTTTTTGACGTAGAGTTTAGTAGCAACACATGGTATAATATAATTGAGTAAAACGACTAGGTAATGCTATAAATAGAAGCTGAGGGTAGAGTTTAATATGAACCCAGGGGATATGTAATTACAGGTTAAGGTGTTAATCAATGAATATCATAAAATTCAAAGAATAGGTTAACCAGCTGCTTACAGTCTTCATCATAAATTAATGAATTACTAATCTGTTAACCAAAAGGGTCTAGATACCAGTATATTTGGAATCTTTTTAAATTGTTGATGAATCTATATATTCCCAGCTAGGGGAATATATGAGCTAGTCCAAAGAGCTTGGTAGAATAGATATTTATATTGCTGTTGGGGACTAGTGACAACATGTATTGTTGAATATGGAAATACTGTAAAGAGAAAATCTTGGTTGAAAAGTAGGTTTGGTTACTACTAGAATGAGAAGAAGGTAGAAAAAGTGGGTACTGGTATTTTAAGTGCCCCTACCATGGCATGTTTCACAGGTTTTAGAATAAAATAGCTCATGGTTTAGCAACCATGAAGATAGAAACCAAGAAATGAAGACTCTTGATATCAAGATGTAGGAAAATGAATCTTGAGTCTTCAGAGCTGAGTGGAGTTCTCACAGAGAGTAGATATTTGGATGTTGTCTTGCCAGTGAACATTCAGATACAAGTTGTAGTTTCCATCTGGGTGGATCCTGTGAGGAAGAAATGATAACAATAATATTGAGAAGAAGAAGGGTGATATGTATGGCCACAATAGAGGTGTCCTACTTTAGTCAGTCAGCATAAAAATAGAGGTTACCTTCAGAGAGGACAAGAGAAGGCACTGTCAGAACCAAAAGAATGGATGCGACAAGGCAGATATGTAAGATATAATTAGAGGATTACATGATTGAAACATGAGGTATTCAATAATGCCTTAGTAGTTTAAGGTCTTGATTGTGGCATGTTATAATCACAATAGCTCTTAGGAAAAACTGGACAGGAAGAAATTGAAGTGGATGAGGGGCACTACTAAAATTCTTTAATACTAAGAATTATTTTCCATGGGTTATGTTAGTTGCAAGAATATTTAAAGAACATTTAGATAGAAAAATGGAGTTGAGAATTGAAATTAAGTAGTTGCCACCCTGTTATGTCATTGTATAAAATCAAATATATTCGATCATACTTACCAAATAGGAATCATGGGAAAAGATGAGAATAAAAGTCTGTATTCTGTATGATATTAACTCAAACTAGACTTTATTCTAAACTTTTTATTTCTTGCTAACATTTTTGTTGCTAAAATGAATGTCATAGACTCAGTAATTTGCAACGAGTAGAGGTTTATTTAACACAGTTATAGACTCTGGGCAGTGTCAGAACATGGTACTAGACCTCTGGAGAGAGCATCCTTGCTCCATTATGATATGGTATAAGGTACCAATGTGAAACAAAAGGAGCATGTTAGAGAAAGATTGATTTTTAATAATAAAGCCACTCAAAGATAACTCTGTAATCTGCAATCTACAAAAACTAATCATTTCCAAAAGGCCCCATTGACATATGGCTTTGGGGAAATGAGTTGGAACCTGGGGGCCTATTTCCAAAGTGTAGCATAAGTCATTTGGAAAGATAAGATGCTACTGCTGTGGATTGGACTGTGGAGAGCCCACTGGGAGGTTATGGAGGCAAAAGCTGCATCCAAAGTGCTAACCTTGAAATGACAGTGTGACCTAAGAGAGAAAGGGCAGTGGAGAGTTCGAGATCCATGATTGCCACTTAGATTTGGAAATACAGACTTCAGAGTAATTATTCTATAAGTAATGATGAAACAAGGGATTGTCTTCTGCAGTGGAAGAGAGAAAATAGAAGAGGTCAGGGGTCAAGCACCGATTTGAGGGAACATTTACCTTCATGGATTTGAAGGCAACAAAAGAGTTGGTGTCTGGGAGAACAATTGTGTGTGGTGTCATGGAAACCAAGCTTGTACAGCTTCCCAGAAACCAGTGTCCAGTAGTATTAGCTGCATCAGAGAGAGAGATCTAAGTAGAAAGGATGCTGGATGTAGCAATAAAAATTTCATCAGTGACCTTTGCAAGAGCAATTTTCTTAAAGCGAGCATGGCAGAATTCAACTTTAACGATATAGTTGAAAGAGAAGAAGAGATGCTTCCTATGTTTCAGTAATTCTGACAAGGGACAAATGAAAAAACCATATTCTCCCTGGGGAGTCCTAAATACAGTGTGTATTCCCATTTAGATTCCCATGGTCTCTTTTTAACAGAATTATTTGTTCTATTTTTCTCATGATCTAATATTTCATACAGAGATTATGACTGACCTTTTAGCAAATTTGTTCTTTAAGACTTTAAACACCAGGCTCCAGGCAGCTGGTTGACTTCTATTTCTCTTCCCCAGTTCTGGCATCCTCACAAACTAGGCTTTTAGTTTCTAGGTCCTACTGGTAATCCATTAAGGAGCAATTAGGCCACTGGACTCTATCCTCATGAATGAACTCAGATGATATATATGTATATATCTTTCTCTTATTGGTTGATGAATAAGCTATTTCAGCCAATGGATAGTCAGGATGTAACCAGGCAGGAAGTATAGGCAGGTCTACCAGACTAGGAGAATTCTGGGAAGAGGAATGCAAAGAGTGAGTCATGAGAGAGGCGTCATATAACTACCAGGAAGATAGTATACCTGGGCATTCTCCAGTAAGCCAAGACCACATGGAGATACATAGATTAATAGATATGGTTTAATAATTAAGAGAGAGATAGCATGTAAGAACCCTGAGCTATAGGCCAATCAGTTTATAATTAATATAAGCTTCTGTGTGTTTATTTGGGACTAAACAGCTGTGGAACCAGGCAGGACAGAAACTTCTGTCTACAGATCACTATGGCCAGAGTGAGTTAGTCATAAAAGTGAGCCTGCTCTCTTCTTGTCCTCTCTTGTGTACTTCTTTTCCATGTAATGCCTTGTTTATGATGTAGCAAGAAGACCATCATCGCATGTGACTCCTTGAACTTGGGAATTTCCAGCCTCC